AACGTAACATCCGCCGCCTGTGCGAGCAAATTAGACGAGTACCGTCCCATCATTTATTACAGTCCCAAGCAAACGACCACAGAGCCATCTGTTGATGAAAAGAAGCCAGATTTGCCGATAGTGTCTATGAAGGTGGTGCAAGGTACGGACCTGTTCGCTACGGCTGCAGACAGACTGCTGGTCGGACAGAACTCTACTCTCATACTCTACTACGAGGACGATGGTAAGTCTACACTACCAGACATAACTGCTGCTCTAGATCTCTCCACAACTCTATACGTCCATACTTTAGTACTCTAGTAGGTTTCTTCTAATATTATTCACTACCGTTCACTGCTCTCTTCCCCATTCTACGTACCACCATCTTTATATGTCATAGTATGCAGTAGGTCAGGTCAGGTACCAGCCAGCACTGCTCTAGATCTCCCCGACTCTATACGTCCCTACTGTAGTATCATAGTAGTTTTTTACCTCCGCCAAGGAGGTAATGTAATCGGTTTCGTGTGTGTGTTCGTGTGTGTGTTCGTGTGTGTGTTCGTGTGTGTGTGTAGCCACAAGTGTTCGCGCGATCGATTCAGCAGCAGCTCGCCTTAGGGCGTCGAGTCAGCAGCAGCTCGCCTTAGGGCGTCCAGTCAGCAGCAGCTCGCCTTAGGGCGTCCAGTCAGCAGCAGCTCGCCTTAGGGCGTCCAGTCAGCAGCAGTTCGCCTTAGGGCGTCAAGTCAGCAGCAGCCAGCAGCGAGCCAGCTGTTATACACATACATGTTATATGCTGGCGGAGGTATGCACTCTACGTGAGTGCCCTCTGTCTAGTTCTACTAGTATTCACTACCATTCACCACGACCAGCCAACACTGCTCTCTACCTAACTCTACCACCATATCTATACGTGCTGGTCGCGCAGGTCAGGTACCTGTGTAATTAAACGCAGTGACACCAGCTAACGCTGAGTATGTATAAGGAGGCAATCATTTATCGTACGATATACAAAAGGCATCAATATTAATAATAAACAAATATCCGTGAACGGAGTCTAGACAATGTTAATGCAAAGCTTCAATGACTAGCCGAGCAAATTCTTGATTTTATAAAGTTATAATCTATATATAATACCATCAATTTATACACTAATATGCAATCTACGGCATCGACGTTTCATTCTCATCATAGCCCACCTTCACCTCACGTGTGACGTCACCAACGAACTACGTCATGATTTTTCGGGTGTCGTTGCTTGCAGGATACTGGGACCTGGGTATGGGTACGTGCTATGCGCATGACGGGAGCGGCTACAGGAAGATTGAGCTGCTAGATGCACGCGGCTGTCCCGTATACAGACGCGTCGGCGACGTACGCAAGCATCGCTACGGTGACGTCATATACATGTTCAGCGTCTTCGAGGCGTTTAAGTTTCCCGATCGTGAACAGTCTTACTACGAGTGCGCAGTGAACGTGTGCAAGCACGAGTGTAAGCCGGTGAGTATAGTGTGTGTGTGTGTGTGTGTGTGTGTGTGTGTGTGTG